ACGGGTTCATATCTGTACGTGTATTAGTGCATGTATGTGCATAGCTATGCATACATTGCTAGAATCTAGTAATCGCAGCATTACCTAAAAATAGCCGGCCCGGAAATGCCTAACAGCTCACCATATCTTTATTTCAGATTTGAACAGCTTGTATTCTGTTATCGTGGCCCAACAGTCACTGTAATTGAAATGGAAGATTCATCGATCATTGTGCTGGCCGTGGACCAAGAATGGAGGTTACTTTCTGTACTTTTTGGTGAATTTTTTCCTTTCATTTTAGTGAGCAAAGGGACTGTAACTGTGAGATCGAAGGAAGGAGCATCAAAGTTACAAAAAGAGTGTCCAGCAGTTGATAAAAATTTCCGTCTCGAAATCGTAAATGGGTTAAGATCTTCGTCTAAGGTGCGCTTCTCGAAGTTTCAAAATGATATGTGATAATGAAGCATGGTATGATATTTTTGCTGCTTTCCTGAACATTGCCGCTAATTACTTTCGTTGTAGAAACAGTGGCTCGAGATTTGGTGCTCAGAATTGTGTATTCGTGCGACTCGCTCCTTTCTTCAAACGCGTTTCGAAGAATTCGCCGATGTATTGTAATTTCAAGCTGCGCACTCACGCGAGAAAGCTTTCATTCGAAGAGGAGTTTGAAGTAGACCCTGAGCTCACTGGCATTGCTGATCTTGAGGTAATTTTCAGTACGGCATAAAAAGTATCGAATGAGATTGCAAGGCTTAAAGCTGGGACAAAAATTTGGTTAGACATGAAGGAGTTCCGCTGATTTGCAAAATCGATTCGGTAATCCGCTTACAAAGCGATTTGATTATCCCTATCTAAAGCAATTAATACTCGACTGCTTATTCGCTTTGCTGCTGCCGAACATATACAAGTACAATTTAGGCAAAGGATGTTTATTTCTGATGAACTATTGGTCGTCAGTAACGTGGTTTTAGATCTTTGCTTGTGGGGGCACAGAATCCCTGGAAGAAAAGCGCTTCATGGACGAGCGTCGTAAGCGACAAATTGAACGCAGCAAGAAAGTAAGATTGCTTTACTATCAGGGCTCGCTAACTTACTGCCGCATTTTTATTGAAACTAAAAGAATATTATAGACGGACAGTGCACTCGAAGCGGCGTAGATGCTAACTGAGAGAGCAAGTCTAGCGGTGCATGCATTCCGGCCGCACTTGTTGAGGCGTAGAAGAGTTGGCTAGAAGAGTCTAAGGCATACCGCGCCATAAGGCTTGTCCCGTTCGGTGCTTATGAAATAGCATTATTTCCAGTTCTCGTTTTTATATGTTTTATTAGTTATGATACCACTGCGAAACTGGACTTAGAATCGCAGACGAAATGCAATGAAAATTTGGAGGTTGTTTTTAGATACATGCCCAGCATCATGCATTAGATTTAGATTTCATTTTTTCCAGCTGTTTTGGCTTGCCACGTTGCGAAATTTGTTACGGATCTGAACCGGAGTTCATAAATTAAGACACATTGACATTTCCAAATTGATTTCGAGTTGTGCACCGCATGAATTTAACAGTTTGGAAAATAAAAGCTCGTGGCCTTCATTCATTATAACTTCAGCCAACTTTTGGATCTGATTTTGAAGTTAAAAGGTGAAAACACATTAAACTCAAATACCGTCGCTTCTTACATAGTCGAGAATTCTGTCTCTGGACTGGCGTCTCTATTTCCCACATTTTAAGAGTTTAATACACAGCATCCATGTACAGACTTCCTCGCTATAATGATTTTTTTTTTTTTGGTTTGTACAGTAATGCAAAAAAGTTATTTTTTAAGATGCCGCTTCCTGGAAAATGGGACGAAAATCCAGACAAATTGTTGCTAGAAATGGCTGGCGCTTATTCTACAGATAACCGTCGCGAAGTATTTGATCGAAATGATGGCTAGTCTTCGATATACACGGCAGGAAATTAGCAGTAGTACAAGGCGCTCAGAATATCTTTTGCTTGTTTGTCAAGCCTGTTGTGCCACACGTGCGGCTGTCTTTAGAGGGGATTCATTAAATCTGACTTCTAAAAGTTTGTGTTTGATTTTCTTAGTCTATTCGCTGGTATCAGCTATCTAATAAACCATTTATCTGATTTAAGGGATTTTTGAGAAGTGAAGCGCAAGATTTGAGGATATTTCTATGTGCTCTCCGCATATTCTTCTAGAAAAAGAAGATTACTTCAAAAATTCCATATCTTCTGACCGAAATTATAGCTCGCGATTAAAATGACATTGCTTATTCAAAATTGTATAGCTTGGTCAAATTACTCCTTTCTCA